CTTGAAGCAGTTATTGATAAACATCAAAGGCTATAACCTTCAGTATGGATTATACCTCAACATAAAGAAAACAAATCCTCACAACTGGAACAATAAGCAACATCATGATAAATGGAGAAAATATTGAAGTTGCCAGGGATTTCATTTTACTGGATCTACAGTCAATGCCCTTGGAAGCAGCAGTCAAGAAATCAAACAGTGTATCTGCATTGGGCAGATCTGCTGAAAAAGACCTCTTTAAAGTATTAAAGAGCAAAAATGTTACTTTGAAGACTAAGGTGTATCTGAATCAAGCCATGGTATTCTCAGTCACGTCATATGCATGCAAAAGCTGTACTGTGAAAAAGGAGGACTGAAGAAAAATTGATGCCTTTGAATATGGTGTTAGTGAACTGAGTATTAAGTATACCTCGGACTGCCAAAAGAATGAACAAATCTGTCTTGAATGAAGTATAGCCAGAATGCTCCTTAGAATTGAGGATGGTGAGCCTTTGTCTCACATACTTTGGGCATGTCATCAGAAGACACCAGTCCCTGGAAAAGAACATTATGCTTGGAAATGTAGAGGGTCATTGAAAAAGGGGAAGACCCTGAATGATATATATTGTCACAGTGACGGCAACAGTGAGCTTAAATATACCAGTGATTGTGTGGATGGTGCAGGACCAGGCAATGTTTTGTTCTGTTTCACCAGGGGTCGCTATGATTCAGAACCAACCTGATGGCACCTAACAATAAAAACAATCAATTATGAGGTGATTTTTGTGTTTGGTGCGAGGGAAGGATCTAAATTATTTATTTATTTGTGTGTGTGTGTGTGTGTGTGTGTATGTGTAGGACTCTTGGACTTTCATTTTTCTAATTAGGCTGACTCGTCTTTTGGACATGTCTCTGTTTGTCTTTTTGTACATCTGCTGTGTGTTTTTGGCTCATCTTCCTGCTCCACACCTGCAATCACCATTTCTCCATTGGTCCCTTTAGCTGCACTGAGCAATAGGTCCTCCTTGGCACTGAGGTTAACAATTGATTCTAACCTCTTTAATGCACAGAGTTGTATTAAATAACTTTTTTTTTTAATTTTATTTTGATTTGGGTGAAGATTTACAGAGTAAATTCACTTTTCATACAGCAGTTCACATATACTTTGTCTCATGTCATTGACCAAAATTTAC